ACCACCAGGTGGACTGTGTGCTCGTTTGTCACCGTATCCCATAAAAAAATGTATACATTGTAAACCTCAGAGACCAACAAAGAAAAAACACTGCGCACATTTCAACTGACGCCGAAACCATGCTCAACTTCTTACACGCACTCACGCACACATATACCCTCATTTGGTCTTTATTAGTCTGTTTAAAAAAAGTACACTGCTAGACGCGAATATCACTATATTATGCACGTAAAACCATGTTGTAGGTTGCAAATGTAATTATTTTAGATAGATATGCGGAATATCTGTTATTGCTATAAGTTGAACTTGATTCCGACTTTACGTCACTTACAATTTACGTAGTATAGTATAGTATAGTAGTAGTATAATATACTCTTTCTTTGTAAGTCAGATATAGTTAATTATGATTGACTTTAACGAGTATTTATCTCTTCTTATTTTATATTGGTTTTCAATTTTAGTTATCTTCAAAATTTAAAAAAAGTTAATTACTAAGGTAAGTTTAATAGGTGGTAGCACTATCTTCTGCCTACCACTTTTCTGGAGACCACCAGAGTAGATACTCTCCTATGGATCTATTTCATCCTCCTTTCCTCTTTAACTTTTAACCTATTTCTTTCGAAAAATAGCAGTGTTTTCACTGCTGTGTTCCCGTCTGAAGGGCAACGAGACCTAGTACAATAATAGGCGGTAAGGCATTCCATCTTAGTCCCAAGAGGTGGCACCATATCATTAGCCATTTTTATTTCAAAATGGCTGCAGGTGCACATAGTCTGCAGAAACCTCTTACTATAAAGTGATATATCAGTCAATATCAGCAACAAGATCACAATAACCTGTACTGCACACAAAAGCCTGTACATAATGGTTCTTACGAACCGGATCTGAACCAGCGATCTATGAATCTGAGAGTCCGTTATGTACCTACAGGCTTCTTAACATTGTTAGGTGTGCTCACTTTTCGTTTATGTAGTTTTAAATGACAACGACCACATATTTACTATTGCAACATTGTGTTCCAAGGTAAACGAATGTCGAGCCTATGTGTAAATCGTAAATTTTGTAAAGTTACGAAAACTGATTCACAATACGTTAATGCTTCAAATTGGTGAATCAGTCCGTGAGTGTAGAAACGGAATGCTCGCTTTATTTGCGTTCGGGCATAAAGTTTGTTTAAAATATAGTATTTTGAGGCTAATAAATAAAAAATATAGTAGATGAAGTACAATTTAAAAAATAAGACACAGTATGAGATGGTGGCGACCTAAAAAAAATGCAGGAGTCAATTGATGCGAGTGACTCAGGACCGTGTTTTTGCGGTATTCCCTGGGGAGGCCAATATTTAGTTATAGAATTGTGAATGATGATGACGATAGTAATATTTCTAATTGATATTTTATATTAAATTTTAAGGAATATAATAATGAATAAGGAATATTTTTTTGCTGCTTTGAACCCTTATTAATAGCCTCGAGCCATATTAAAATATAGAATTTGGTCTCATATAGTAGGACACTATAATAATACATATGAAAGGGTTGACAAACACACGTTCTTGTATTAGTGTTATGACTTAAGACTCCTTAGCAACGGTCGATCATGTTGTTTGCCCTTTGTGCCGCCATGCCGCACGCCCGGCCGCACGCCCGGCCGTACGCCCAGCCGCACGCTCTCCACTTAAGCTCGGGGCTACAGCTCATTCATAAGATATAGAAAAAAAGTTTTTAAAATAACTACGAAGTTCAATAAACAACTTTAAGCAATCAAATGTGGTTTTTGAAATATTAGTTTGCAATGGGTCTATTTTTTTAGAGACTTTAAAAATAGCCCTACTACAAATTATAACAAAGATTGCAGTAGATATAAAACTATTAAATAAAATTGCACATTGGTATTTCTACTAGCTTATGCGACTAATTAGCTCCCACTTTGATAATTTTAAAGTATGATATTATGTCCGAACTATTTGAATTAATCTTTAGTTAGGCATCTATCGTGCACAAAATGCAAGGCCCCCTGTAGATTTATTATGATCGTATACATGGCTTAAGGTACGGACAGACGTGTTCATTATTAACACGAAAGTAAGCTTTTATTGAGCAAGTGTTCATTAGTAGCACGTGTGTCGAAACATTGCTTGTAATGAGCATGCCTATTTTCTAGCATGTTACCTAAGGCGCGGGTAGAAAGGCTGCTCCGAGCGCGTATGAACTGAACAGGATTGCATATGAGCATGTTTTATCGAATCGATCTTGATTCGCGACGGTTACTGCGTCAATTTAAAATAAAAACCATCGATATGTCGCGTTGGGGGAAAAAAAAACTTTGCTTTTCCTTCTTACACTATTCGGTTGCAAGCAATACAATTATTTTATTAAGTTCTCTACGGATAGCACTGTCACTATATCCTTGTACATCCATTTCGGCCGAGATCCTAGTGCCAATTAGCACGTCTCGTGCGTTGAGAGTGCTTATTGCTGGCAAATGTGAACAGTTGCAGAGCATGCTCATTTTAAGCAAGCTTATGAGCATGCTTTTATTTGAGCACGTCTGTGCGTACCATAACACTTAACGGTTGCGTAAATTTACCGAGTGGTCTCCAAATAGAAGACCTTCTTAAGTTGACTGGTTAAAGACTACTAATTAAAACCATTGTAAATAAAATGGCTAAACTACGTAGACAGGAATAAAATAAATATGTAAGTGGATGCTGTGGCCCATAGACAATCTACATTTATCCTCGATTAACAATCAAAACGTAGATGCGTTGTCGAGGACTAAGATGGAATGCATCGTTTCCAGTAAAAAAGGGTCTCCGGATCTCTACACTCACCATAGGTAACACAGCAGTATTAAGCTGCTATTTTACGGTGGTATTCTGTGAAAGCGTGGTCCTTCCCCGGTCGAGACGACCCATTCGTGTTACAACCATATTATAGATGCAGCGTGGCTCTACCACGCATAAACCACGTATATACTCGTAGTTTATACTAAACAGCAATACGACGTTTCGTAACTTCGTTTATTTAACAATCGAATTTAGTCAAAACTAAATTAGGATTTAAAATTTCTGATTTATAACTTTAACCCAAATCCAAAGTAGTGATAAAATTATCAGTATTTAGTTCCAGTTATTACGGATGCTTGTAAACACTTCTACCGAGAGGTCAATCAACGGATTAAACTGTATCAAAACATGAAAACAAAACCATACCAGCGTGCAATCACTGTTCGTGCAATCAATTCAGTGATGATATATGTATCCAAGAGGTAGTCCTTTACTGCTGGCCGTATGAGGAAGCTCAAGGTCACTTAGCGAGCTATGGAGCAACCGAGTAATAGAATCGATGAAAAAGTAAGGTTCTTGAATGGCAGACTCGTACCGTTGAGCAAAGTGTGGGACGACCCGCACTAGATGATGGATTGACGACCCGGTAAGAGTAGCAGAATGCGATGGATGCAGGAGACCGAGCTTTGTGGCATTCCTTTTGAGAGGCCTGTGTATATTAATGGACTGTAATGATGATGATGATATTGATGATTACTGGTAAACAAACTGTTGAATGTCATGTTCATAAATATTAAAAGCGAAGCAATGCAACATTCCAGTAAAAATGATATCATAGCTTTTAAAATGTTACCTGCGCTCGCAGATCCGATCTGCAGGTAAAGTGTTAGCTATTATTTTATACTGAATATACGATTAGTTTTTTTTAAAATCTTTATCCCTTGATAAGGTCAAAGTCGTAATCGTAATTAAAAAGATATATCCTTTAAAAACTTTAGAGGTAATATGGGTTTAGAGGTAGAGGGAATATTAAAATGCAGAGATGCTTTTAAAAAAATGTATGTTGGTATTGCGTCCTGTCGATTGGCCAGAAGAAAGCATAACCGGAATAAATAGAGAAAACTGGTGTTTACGCTACTATAGCCCATAGACATCTACATCTATCCTCAACTGCCTCGTTGGTCTAGTGGTTGTAGTAGTGGGACCGCTAATCATGAGGTCCTGGGTTTGAATCCCGGGTCGATAGCTGTCAGTAGCTTGCCGGAGTCAGGAAGTTGGCGGTGTCTCACCCCCGTGCTTTGGAAAGCACGCAAAGCCGTTGGTCCTGCGCCTGATCTCTCTCCGGTCGTGTCAGTTTACCGTCCCATCGGATTATGAGAGTGCAACTGTGCTTGCGCATACACTTGGGCACTATAATCCTGTCCTGCGGCGATGGCTAGCCTCCGTTGAGGCACGTCGCCGTGGCCGAAATTCGGTCTGGAGGACATTATTATTATTATTATTATTACATCTATCCTCGATTAAGAATCAAAATGCACATGCATTGCCACCCCTGAGAACTAAAATGGAATGCCTCGTTTCCAGTGAAAAGGGTCTCCCGTTCTCTACACTCACCATACGAAACACAGCAGCATTGAGCTACTATTTTACGCTGGTTTTCTGTGAGTACATGGTTTTTCCCCGGCTGAGCCGACTCATTCACAACCATATTGTAGGCGCAGCATGGCTCTATCACGTAAAAACGTATGTCTTTTGAACAGAACAGTTAGAATTTGATAACAATACCGCTTTGTAATATTTAATCGTGCTCTCCTTACTATCATCAGTCTGTAAATAGTTTGCAGCTGGATGTGATCACCTCCCACAATAGAGCTTTTTTGCTGTGATGGTCACGACTAATGGTACGCAAACGGACTGGCAATCATATTAGTTACCAAACCACAAACTAATAACTAACGCAATACCAGACGTTTCGCACATTTGCTAGCTCCTGTTACCGGTGTGGGAATTTTATCTGACATAATATGTCTGCTATAATACTATAATTTTTCAGAAAAAATGGTGAATCAGTCAATAACACACTTGACCATAAAAGCGGTCTAAAGGCCATGTTCAATGTCAGTCGGCAACGGTTGCCTGCGCGAACAACACGTTTAATTTATACTTGTATATTTTTACTTATTTATTTGTAAATATTTTTAATTCCGTCGCAATGGCATCCGCCTTGTTAAAGTTCAGTGCCATATTAATGGTTGTCGGTTTTGCGGCAGCTGATGTTGGTATGTAGCAACACTTTTGTTTTTCTATCTTGAAAATAAAAAATGCAAAAAAATATATTAACGGTTGAGATATAATATGCTCAATATTTTAAGTTTTAAAAGGTTTATGTGTCATATAACTACAGAGCATAATTATTTGTTTGAATTGGTAAGAGAAAACTTGTAAAAGTGTTTCTATTTATGTAGCTGTAATGATGAAAAGTTAAAGTTAGAACAGTTTACAGTCATAATTTAAGCGGGAAACTCTATCTCTTTCTTTCTACTTTATATATTTATGTACCTGGGCGTACGAGTTTTACACGTTATTTACAGTCATGACATATATATATATATATAAACTAAGATGTATTGTAAGCTAGGAAAGTAAAACATTAATCTAAATAAAAAAAAATTTATCGTAAGAACCGTTTTCGAGAAATCAACTATGTAGCATACACACTCTACCTGTCTAACCAAAATAAAATAATGTTTTTTGTAAAGAAAAAGTTTCAATTTTTAATACAAATTATTATTTTAAAATAGGTAAATTAAGAAACGAACTGAAGAACTTCCTTGAAAAACTACTCTTATTTTTAAAAGAGATGCTAAAATACAAACTTACTGGTATTTGTGACATTTAATGTATCTAAACTACCTCCACAATACAGGAGAAAATTCTACCGTGCCTAACGTTTTCTTAAAAAAAAAAAGTAAATTTATAAACTATATCATGCAACTTCTTGAAGTACTAGTTGAAAGTGCACAAAGAAAATCTAACAAAGGGGAAATTTAAACTCTGAAATTATTTAAAAAAAAGCACACACACGTAACTCTTGTTACTTAAGAATATAACTATATTTGTATATAAAGAATTTACTTAAATATTATATAGACATACGTAGGTATATTTTACGTAGTTTTTTTTTTGCATAAAAGGACAGTAGGTGCGTTTTAAAATTTTTTTTTAACTTTTAATTAAATTATAATGATTTAAATCTTCGTACTTTAAGAGATAGTAGCAAAATTGATAAACCGAAATTTAGATTAACTAACTTCCTTGTAACCATAAAGTACATAAGGGTAATGTGGTCACCGCTTTGTCGCCCTACAAAACCAAAACTAAGAGGAAGACGGAGACAAAAACACAAAGTCGTATACTATAAATAATATATTAATAAAATAAAAACAAGCTTTTAGCTTTGGCAATATTAGGGACACTACGAAAAATCAACTTAAAAAAAAACTAACTACACTACACCATACTAAAATAGACTAAAATATTTACTATAATGTAAATTGTAAAAATGGCGTCGATAAGGCAGCGAGCGCCCTTTGACCCTTTATTTTTTGATTGACACATGAAAAGCGATTGCAGCACACAATCGTCTATGCAAACAAGGCAGTAATTTTTGAGTTATAAGAAAGTAATGTCCATTATTACCCTCCTAGCTATTGTTGTCATTGATCATTTTTATCCAGAACATTGCGACTCTAGTGATTTTGACCATTGGCCAATTGCTGTATTGGAGGATTTGCTATTTATAGTCACGTTTATAAAGCGGATTGCAATACCAGACATTACATAATGTGGTATTTTTTGTTTTTTTTTTTGTTATGTGCCATTACAAGGGCCTTGGGTTTTTTTTTATGCTTTTATCTGTAATTATTAATTACAGGCCGTTCTGCCCCTTTGCCTTTTTTCGTTGTTTTGGGAATGCGTGTTGGCGATTTATGCTCATACGTCATCTTTACTTTTTTATATAAAAATTATTACAGTCTGGTAAAGACCTATGACTCCGTGACTCTTGCATAAGGCGTCAATGGGAGAGCGCTAAAAAGACCTTATACTCATAGCCTCCGTTAGATGGCAGTATACCGTATCTTATATTAAGTAAAGTTACCACCCATGTCCATCGCTGGACATAGGTCTCCTATTTCTGGAACTCAATGTCAGATGTTAATACACGGATCGACGACAGGGAACGTTGTCAAAGGTGCATTATATCTTGTACTGAGATTGCCAAACTGCCAAGCGTGGAGAATTTACGACATATAAAAATGCTCATGTTAGTCTGGTCCATAAAATTCCCATGTTTATGAGGAGCTTATAACAAAAAGGAATGTGCAAATTTCGTTACTTGCTTAGCATGTCGTAAAAGGTGACTAATAATATAATGTATTTGTGATGTTTTTGTTATTTGTGTTTGTTGTGGCGATGGACTAGACATCTAAGACTTCTTTCACGATGTTCCATGTATACCCATACTTTTTTGGCTAAACGTGGTCCGCACAAGTCACAACTCTTTGGACTCTGCCTACTCTCAGGGATTCAATATGCGTGACGTTATGTATGTATGTAAAAACACAATGTATGAAAAAATGACTTTGTTTATACTTCCCGTGTGATTTTCAAATACAAATATCAAGGCCTATGCTCAAGTTACGTCAGAACAGTCGAACAAGTCAGTATAGTAGAAAATAACTAGACAAAGTATCTTCCGCATAATCTGTATTATTCCGAACTAATTTGCATGAATAACAATTGTGTATGCTCGAATATTATGTTATAAAGATATAAAGATCTATAGAACGCAGTAATTGTAACAATGATAGAGCTTACTACCAATAAATATGTTTTTTGTCTATTGGTCGCCATTGTTAGATAACGAATGCCGATTAAATCATTTTGTTATGAAATGTTTCGACTGTATATTTGTAATTAACCCAGTCCTTAAAAGTTCTGTGCCTTTATACACTTACGACTACGGGTACCTACGCATTTATTTCATTTTGCTGTGACAAGACGACCTAAGAAAAACAACACTTCATTTCATCCTGTAGGTGTTGTAAGATAGGACTTTTGGAGAGACTAGAGTATACTTGTAACATTTAAAAAAAACTGGAAAAAGAGACAAAAACAGGCTACTGATGCATTGTCACCTCTGAGGACTAAGATGGAATGCTTCATAGCCTCTTAATATTATTATACTTTTTTATAGGAAAGGTTAGGTTAGGACATGTTTGTCAACCTATCCTATAAAAAACCTGGTGGTACCTAAAGGTAAGTGATTGCTGTGGCCCATAGACTACATCATCGTCTACATCTATCCTCGATTACGAATCAAAATACAAATGCGCTGTCACCCGTGAGGACTAAGATGGAACGCCTCGTTTCCAGTTTTGGCGGCGGTAGTTACTTAACATCAGGTGAGCCGTATGCTCGTTTGCCCCTTCTTCCATAAAAAAAAAAAAGTAAAAAAGGGTCTCTGGTTCTTTACACTCACCATACGAAACACAGCAGCATCAAGCTACTATTTTACGCTGGTATTCTGTGAGAACGTGGTCCTCCTCTGGTAAAGCCGACCCATTCGTGCTACAACTATAGTACAAATATAACTGCAACATGGCTTGATAATACCACGTATAATATACGATGTAGCTCACTATACACTTCAGAGCTGAACACAGCGATGCAAGCACTGCTATTAGATGGCAGAAAGAGATAAGAAGGTGGTATCCCAGGCGAAACAGAGGAAGAATCCTACTATCAGCAAATCTACCACCTTAGATGGTGGTACAACAATTAATATTTATACCAGATGAAAATGTCCAGACCGGCGAATCAGCGTCAATGGACAGATAATGTAATTATCAATTACATAGTCTGGCAAACGTGGGGGTTCCGGCTAAACCTCTTTACTTTTAAAGGATGGCCATGTCTCTTGGTAGTATAAGAATGTTTCACAAAATCAAATTTACAATTAGATGTTCGGCATTTAGTTACATATCTCCCAAATAAAATACGCGCACTTAAAATGCGTAGTAATAACATTTCTTTTCTTAAAGTTACAAATTTTACTTTTTTGTGAATATATTTAATAAAAACATTAAATTTAAACAATTCCAGAAATTGAAGTCTAATGTGTGATCATCATCATCATCGTTATGTCCTTCACGAGCCCACTGCTGGACATGGGCCTCCCTCAAGGGACGTTTCAATGCACAGTCCTGAGCCATCTGCATCCATCGACTTCCTGCATGACATACCAGGTCGTCACTCCATTCAGTGGGAGCCGCCCCACATTTCTGTTTATACCATGTTTCCAAATAGAAAACTGAACTTAATCACAGATTTCCCTGATTCTTAGAGTATCGTTTTATACATTATGAGCATCACTATGTATAAGTATCATGACCTTAATACTATAACGATTCATGGATTAACTTTTACAACAAAATATATTATATTTTTGATTATATACAGGTATATAATCAAAGTAAACTTGGTGCCATAAGATCTGAGTGATAAACAGGAATGACTCTTGGCCACCCGCAATCGATTCCAAACAAAGAAGGGTGTGGAAGGTTAGTTATCACACATGGGTACCAAGATGAATGCATCATACATGTAATTATGATGTACATACAAGTACTTTATAAAACAATTTTTGCATTTAACTTATTATTTTGACTAAGTATTAAATGTTTTAATTTAATATACATATCATAGAAAATGTCTTTATCTTGCTTCTAGTCTTGTAAATAGTCGCAAGGATTTTGCGATAAACTTTAACACTTAAATTATTTCATGCGTTTCTACATCTTTCCGATTGTTTATATAAATCGATAAAAACAAGTCAATAAATAATTTACAAACTGATCGAGTTAAGGATGCAGTATGAATATGAAGGTCAAACAACTAGTATTTAGTTATACACTGTCTCATGGAATTATTATTGAATATTATTTGATTTGTTGCATTCTGTGTTTTGAATGTTCTGAGTTTTGAAAGTAAGAGTTTAGAAAGCCCTTTGTATTCAAGTGGTTTGTGATTGTGAGCTCAGTAGCTTATTGTTACAATAATTAAAAACACATAAGTAATTCAAACACGTTATCGTTATAGATTATAGACCTGAAAAATTAAAATATTATAAATATATTTAATGATAATATTTGGCACTCGAAAACTACAAAAATATTATGAACAAAACTATACGGAACTTATTAATTTCCGCCGAAAT